GCGCACGGCCAGGTACCTGCGGGTGACGGGCGGGCGGTGAGCGCCCGGGCGTGCGACTCTGCGGTGCCGGCCGCGTCCACAGCGCGAGCACAGGACCCCGCCCCCGACGGGACCTGGGTCTCCTCCTCTAAACAGCAGGGAGTGGTTGTGCGGCTTCAGGAGGGGGCAAGCGGTGAGCCCCGGGCAGTGCCTGGCACCTAGCAAGGGCTGAACGGCTGTTAGATGTTCACCGCAGCCTTTTCCGTGGAGCAAAGCGAGGCACAGAGGGAAGCGACTCGGCCCGGAGACCATCTAGGGAGCGAGCCTACTTCGGACACCGTGTTTCAAGCCATGGAACCAGGCGTGGGCACGGCCTGGGTCAGAGGGGGCCGTTATAAAATAGCTCATGAGGAGCTGGGGATTTAGCTCAGCGGCACAGCGCCTGCCTGGCAAGCGCGAGGTCGTGAGTTTGATGCCCGGTACGGAAAAAAAACAAAAAATAAAATAAAATAAAATAAAAATAGCTCATGAACGCGTTGTGGGTTTCTTTTGGCGGTCATTTTGTACTTACAGAGCACCTATTGTGTGCCACGCCATGTGGTGACATGGAACACGGAGGTGGCCTCTGGAATCTGATGGGGGGGGCAGGATGGTCCCCACGCGCATGCCCTGTGGGGCCCAGAGAGCGTTCCTTCCCTGCCTCCCACCTGCCTTCCTAAGGGATGGTCCAGCTCTTCCCTCCCCAGCCCCGCCCAGCGCACCTGTCCACCGAGACGGCGGCCAGCGTGAAGCTGCTGGCGTACATGGTGAGGTAGATGAGTAGGTGCACGGCTTTGCAGACCAGGGCTCCGAAGAGCCAGGCGTCCAGCGTGTAGATGGCAGCCTGGAAGGGCACGCAGCACAGGATGAAGCAGAGGTCGGCCACTGCCAGGTTGAGGATGAACAGATCCGTGGTGCTGCCCGGCTCCTGCCAGGCACTTGGGCCAGGCTGAAGCAGCACCGCCAGCACCAGCCCATTGCCCACTGTGCCCAGCAGGAAGATGAGGGCAAAGACCACAGGGACCGCCACAGCCCCCACACTCGCTGGGCTGTCCAGTGAAATGTTCTGGGCATCAGCCATCTCCCCATCAGACGGCACCTGGAGAAGAGAAGCTGGAGTCCTCAGGCAGGAGCCCCGCCTCTGGTCACCTGGCCCAGGGCCCAGGTCCCCAGCCTGGTTCGGCCAGGTGTCCTGGGCTGGAAGCCCTTTGGGGAAAGGAAGTTGAGGGGAAGTGCAAGCAAAGCCAGAAGTCACTGCTGAGACCCAGAGGGAGCGAGCCCCCACCTTAACATTGGTGTGTTGGTGAGTCTCGGTGCAGCGCCTCAGTTTTCTGGGAAAAAGTCTGGGCCATGGACAGACAGCAACTCAAGAGGCAGCTGGGGACACAGGCAAGATGAAGACATGGAAGGTGGGGGAGGAGCTGCGGTAACGCAGGAGCTGGGAGAGACGCTTAGGGGAGGCCCTTGGACATGAGACCTGGCTACAAGCTGTAGCCTCAGTAAGAAGTGGGTGACATTCCCAAGTCACTGGAGAGTCCAGTCCAGTGGTGTCCCCGCAGTGGCCAAGCTACAAACACCAGGTAAGTCACTGCTGGCTTTTGCACACTGAAAATTGAGGCCCAGGGAGGGGCCATGGGTGGCTAATAGCACACCTTGGGTGACAGATCAGGGGTTGCTGCCACTCCGGCATCCTGAGCGCATGCTAACAGCGTGGCAACCTGTGTGTGCGTGTGTCCTCCTGCTCAGTCCTACATCGCCCACCACCTGTGGGTCCCTTACTCACCTGGGAGCAGGGCTGGGAGGGATAGGAGTGGGGGTGGGGAGGAAGGAAGGTAGGCGGCGTCTGCCCCCACCCAGCACCCAGCAGGCCCCTGAAGCCCAGGCTGGGCACCACCCACCTCAGTCCTGGGCACCGAGCTGCTGCTTGGTCCTGGGTGGAACAGCTAGCTGGAGTGCCTCCTGGCCCGGCGACTGCCCCTTGGTGGCGCCCCGTTGAATCTTCCTCTACCTCTCCCTCTTCGCCTCTAAGCCCCCACCCAACCCGCCTGGTCTGCTGGGTCAGACTTGGGCAGTCCTTCTGGAGTAGCCTCGGGCCACCTCCTCCTCAGTCCCTGATTTCCCCCGGGCAGCATGCTCTTCAGCCAGGCTGCTCTCTGCGTCGCTGCTGCCTCATACTCCTTCGTTTGCGCTGGGAGTAACCCATTGATCTCGCTCTCTGAGATTGGCTTTGCACTTAACCCCTGCATGCCCGCTGCCCAGCCCATTCTTGGCACTCCCGCCTCCCGGTGGCCCTGCCCGTGACTCCACCTCTCTCCCGCCCCTCCCTGCTCCAAGTAGGACTCCGATCTGAACTTAGAAGGGATTCCTAGTCTCAAATTGAGTCTCCTGGGCGGGGAAGCCAGGATATGGCTTCCTGTGGACTTCAGGTAGCACGCCCTCCCCAGGCCATGTGAACCCCTAGGGACCATCTCCTTTCGTGGTTGTCCCAAGGGGTTGATCCATCAGGAGAGTTGATGGTTTATGAACTCTTCCTAGTTTCCCCTTAGCCTAAGAGAGGCAGGCAGCTAGTGAAGGTTCTAGAGCTGGGATATGATCTACACATTTTATTTTATAAGAAATTTATTACGGCTTAGGGCAAAAAGGATGGATTGAGGGAAGAGAGATTTATTTAAAGAGGGACCTGTGAGGACTCTCTTGTCCAGGCAAATGCCAAAAAGGTTAACAGGTCTTAGTGAGTGGCTGTGTGCTGTGTGACTGTCACAGGGTTCTGGCCCGAAGCCTCAGAGCAGTGGCCCATGGGCAGAGGCTTCCACAAGGTAGAAGGCTGGCACCCAGGGAGCACGGTGCACGGGACTTAGCAACCAGGAGGCTGTTGTATCGTGGACAGGTACAAGGAGGTCTGGTGAATTAGGAAGGGATAGGGATTTTCTAGAAGCAGGGGGTGGAGGGCCATCCAGAGGCAGTCTGAGAGAGGAGAGGACACCTGGAGGGGCACAGGCAGAGCAGTGAGGTACCCGAGGTTGAGGGAAGACCCTTCAGGACCAGCTCCTCCTCCTGGAGCTATGTACCAGGGCTGACTGCCTCAGTGCAGCCAGCCCTGTGTCACTCCCCACCCCAGATGCAGAGAATCCCTGAGTTTTTGGAAGCAGAGACTCACTGAATAGAAGCTATTAGGAATCAGACCTCAATTCTACAAACTTGCATTCAGAACCACCAGAATTGCGGCATCTTACGATCCCCAAACAAGGGACTTGTAAGACACTAGTGTGGTGGGGTGAATCACGGGTACTAACACACCCTTAGGCCCCTAGAAGCCTGGATACCTGCGTGTGTATGCCTGAACCCCAGGATTGTCCGCACTGGCCCCCTGAAAAACTGGAGATTCAGGACAGGCTCTGCACAGCACTCCCCGAGTGGGAGGCCCCTCCCTGGGGTTGGGCTCAAACTGTTCCAGGGCAAAGAGTTCCAGAAGGCAACGCACAGCCGAGCTGACATATTGGACATGAGGAGGACCAGTGAGGAGAGGTGACTTTGAGCAGTCCCTGCTGAGCAGGCAGGAGGGGCTGCGTCACGGTTCACACCCCAGTGTGCCTGCTCTTCCCCTGCTCCTGCTGCTGCTCCCGGCGGCCCAGGCTTGAAGCTGGTGCCCATCGCAGAGGCCCAGGACAGCCTACCTGGGAGCAGTTCCCAGAGCTCAGGGCTCCACGGGATGCAGGGTGCAGTTAAGGTGAAGCACGTACCAGGCCTGCGCACCTTGTTGCAGGCAGCAGGCAACCAGAGGCGCGCATGGAGCCGGGGCACGCGTGCCTGGAGCGGCCGATGTGCCTGCTCCAACGCTTTCTGCAACTCCTGGATGGCAGCAGAGCCACATGTTGGTGGACCCCTGCCAGGCCGCTGGGCATGCTGAGCCCAGAGCTGACCTGGAGCATGATAGCCGTTAGGGCTCAGGCCCTCTCAGCGCTGCCTAGGCGGGGGCAGGGGCACAACGCCAGTGGCGGCCTGGGTAGAACTGAGCCCTGTGCCCGGACCGGGCCTTGCTGGGTTGGTCACACCAACGGAGACAAGTCGCCCCATGCTGTTCTTGGCCACTGAGCGTGACCTGCCAGCCACCACAGACCAGGCACAGTAGATGAAGCCACTGGCAGGGTCCTGGCCGCCATCCGGCGTGCACGCCCCCTTCGGCAGGGGCCTGGCAACGATGTGGCTACGGCTGTACTCGGCGGGCTGCGTCCCTTCTGCACCAAGGGCTGCTGGACCCCAGCCACAAGCTCCTCCGGACCGAAGGCCAGGACCCCCAGAACCCACCTTGAAGCAGCTGCAGGACCGGGCCGAGGCTCACCCAGACCGTCCATCCCAATGCTGGCAGAGGAGTGGGTGCCTGAGTTGTGGGCCCAGATTCCTGTCCTTCACGAAGGACCTTGCCATGCTGTCCTGCCGCAAGCGAACCATGAGCTTGCACCATGAGCTTTCCAAGGCCACGCCACGCGGAGGCCGGAACTGCGACGCTGCGTCAGAACCCGCACCCGCCCCCACCCGCCCCCGCACGCACTCGAGGCTGAGCAGCGCAGACCCTCCTCCCCCTCCCGAAGCGCTCAGGACCACGGGCAGCGACTGCGTGAAGAAGGCTGGCACCTCCAATACCGGAGCAGCCACCTCTTGCGAGAGACAAGGGTTGATGGGGCCTTGGCAACAGCAAGGCGGCCTTCAGCCGCGCCTGTTAGCTGCAAGCTGCGCAAGCACCACGGTCCCACAACCACCCGAACAGAGCGGGCGGGGCAGGCAGCGGCAGCAGCAGCTGACTCGCTGCGCCCCCTGGCGGCCCATCATCAGAATGCAGAACTTGGAACAGGCAAGATAGAAGGGCCTACATCTCAGTTTAATAGCCTCTGTACCAGAGGGGAAACAGGGAGACACACAACATACGCACACACACACACGATGAGGTCTGTAGTCCTCAAGCGCGAGTCGGGCCTCAGTCCCATCCCCAGCCACAAGACTGGGGCTGTTAAGGGTGAATAAAGCAGACCAAAGTGTCCCAGCCAGTGTCCATGCTGTTTTTTTACCCATGGCCACAAGTACAGGCCTCTTGCAAGCCCAGCCCTAGGACTCTGAGTCAGGGGTCAGAAGCTCTTGGCCTGATCAGAGGCCCCTTCAACGTCTGGGACAACAGAGGCTCCTCGGCTCTGCTGTCCCCACCAGAGCTCAGGGCAGCACACCGTGCAGCCGCCCCACCTCGACAAAGGCCTCCACGCAGCGGTCAATGTCTTCTTCGCTGTGCACGGCTGAGATCTGCACCCGGATTCGGGCTTTGCCCTTGGGGACTACTGGGTAGCTGAATCCAATAACGAAGATGCCTAGGAAAGGCACACCAGAGCCAGGCATAATTTGGGGGCATAGCATACAAGGGCTACCTTCCTTAGGCTCACAGAAGGCAGGATGGGGGTGGGAGGGAGTATGACCATGTACTAGGTTCTCCCTTTGCTCTTAGGACCTCCACCGGTCCTTTAATTCCAGCTCCCCCACATTTATTTATTTACTTATTTAGAGACAGGGTCTCGCTATACTTCAGGCTGACCTCAGACTCCTGGCGATCCTCCTGCCTCAGCCTCCCCACTGGTGGGATTACAGGCATATACCATGCCTAGCTTATTTTTAAATTTTGGGGGTGGTACAAAGCCAGGGCCTTGAGCATTCTAAGCAGAGGCCGCCTCTTACCTCTCTTCAGCATGTCATCCGCCATGAGAGAGGCCAGCCGGGCATCACCCAGCATCACAGGGCAGATGGGGTGATTGGCTCCCGAGATGGTGAAGCCAGCAGCCTCCATCTTAGTGCGGAACCTGGGGACATAGCTGGGTGTCAAAAGTAGCTAGGGGGCCACAGAGCCCCCATACCTGCCCTTCAAGGACACCTGGGCCAGGATCTAGGGCCAGGATCTAGCCCCAGGCCTGCAAGAGGAAGCAAAAGATAGAAACACCAGGCATGGGGAGGCAGAATGGAGAGGTGGAAAAGGAGGACTGACAAGAGGGGGACTCAGGGGGCAGAGGGAGGAGGCAGAGGGAAGAGGCAGCAGGAGGCCAGCCCCGCAGGTATGGAGCTGTGCCTGCCAGCCCGCCAGCCCGCCTAGTCCCTGCTCAGAACCGCACCGTTGGGTCTTGGCTGCCATGGACTGGACGAGGGTGCTGCTCTCCATGAGCAGGTCCAGGGCCTTAGAGGCGCA